CAGCAACAACGAACAATAATCGAAATTCGAACACTTCCGCTACTCCTCCTCAAGATCCGCAAGCGTCATCCTCGTCCTCGCAAACTCCGGCTACTATGAATGCTGCACATTTGAGAGTGAAGAGCTGTAACTCACAATTGTCTTCGAGATCCAAGGTTCTTCTAGCCACTGCCGTGGTGATTGTCGTCGACGATGTAGGGAAGGAACATATCGCACGAGCTCTACTGGATTCTGGGAGCGAATGTTGCTTCGCCACTACACAGTTATCTCAGGCGATGACTGTTACACGAAGGAGAGTCGATGTGCCGATAGCTGGAATCGGAAAGTCCTCTGTTAATGTGAAACACCAATTTCGAGCCGTCATCAAATCCCGAAATTCGAATTACTTTACCTGCGTCGATTTGCTTATTCTGCCCAAGGTCACTATTGATCTGCCATCGGTCAACTTGGACATCGATCATTGGAGCATTCCTGCCAATATTGATCTTGCCGATCCTGGCTTTTTCAAAACGAGCACTATCGATATCGTGTTGGGGGCAGAAATATTCTTCGATCTACTCTCCGTTCCAGGACGCATTTCGCTTGGAGATTCTCTTCCGTCGCTCACCAACTCGGTATTTGGGTGGGTGGTATCAGGAAAAACTTCACAGGGCTATCCAGAAACGTCAGTTCGCTGCAATGTTGCAACGATAGCCGAATTACACAACGACATGGAGAAGTTCTGGAAAATTGAAGAAGACCCATCTGCTACGAATTACTCCCCGAACGAAACTGCCTGCGAAGAGTTCTTTCAGCGTACTGTTGCACGTGATTCGTCGGGTCGATACATGGTGAGACTCCCTTTCAAGGAAAATGTAACTCAGTGGTTGGGTGACAACAAGAAATCGGCTCTGCATCGTTTTCGCTTGTTGGAGAATCGGCTGTCTCGTAATGCTTCGATCGCTCAGCAGTATCGGGATTTCATGGCACCACTCAGTGACTTCGGAGAGAGCTCCATCCGAAGTACTATTTACCACATCATCCAGTGATTAAAGAGAGCAGCACGACCACGAAGCTACGCGTTGTTTTCGATGCGTCTAGCAAGACGAGCTCGGGAATTTCACTCAACGACGCTCTTCTTGTCGGTCCGGTCGTACAGGACGATTTGCGATCGATTGTTATGCGTTCCCGAACCCACTTAATCGCAGACGCCGAAAAAAATGTATCGCCAAGTATTACACTTCATCGACGACTATGCATACCTTTGCATCTTCTGGCGATCATCTCCGGACCAACCACTACAAACTTTCGTTCTCAAGACCGTCACGTATGATACTGCATCGGCTCCTTATTTGGCGACACGTGTCCTAAAGCAGCTAGCTAGTGACGAGGCCGATAATTTCCCAATAGCAGCAACGGTCGTCGAGAAGGATTTTTATATCGATGACTTATTTTCTGGAGCACCAACCGTAGCAGAGGCAATCAAGCTTCGGGAGCAACTCGACGCCATGCTTTCCCGGGGAGGCTTCCAGCTAAGAAAATGGGCATCAAACTGTGAGACCGTTCTAAAGGGCATCCCGCATGAAAACCGTGCTCTTCAGCATTCCATTGATCTCGATCGTGATCAAACGATCAAAACGCTCGGTTTGCACTGGGAACCAGCATTTTGGATTTTGGATTTGATAAAGAGTCACAAATTAGTTATATTTTGTTTAAAATCTAATACTGCTTCTTGATTCCAAATTCGTCGTACGAGTTTCAATTTCGTCCAAACATATTGAAACATCATTGGATTTATGCTTCGGTAAATGGATGAAGGTGGAAAAACTGGACTCGCTAGGGGTGTTTCTTTTGTTTTTTTTTTGTGAAGAATGACTGTAAATGACTGTTAAAATTATGCGTTTTTATAGACTTGTAAGCTCCAAGCTCCACCATTGTGAAGTAAGTGTTTGAACAGTGTTGGAAAAATATAAAAAATCAAATCTCACAAAATGCCTAAGACTACGCTTGTTTTTCGTAGACAAAAATCAACAGGCAAGCAACTGCGGATGATATTATAAACTACAATATCGTAGCAACAAATATCAAGCTAACAAAACTCACCAGCTGCAATTCTAACTAGACCGTGCTGAGTTTGAGTTTCATTATTTTTTCTTTACATCCGAATGCGACCCGAAGCTACCGCCACTGTTGGCAGCAGAAGCGTCGTGTCTGCCATCGGTCAAAAGTAAAGAGAGAAAGCAAACTATACTTTCTCTTTCCAAGAATACGATGTGCAAAGGAATCATTTCTGTGTCGAGTCAACTCTCAGCTGCATTTTCATATGGTGTGAATAGTCTCGCAATATCAAATGAACTTGTAAATTCAATATCAAGCATGATGTTTTGTTCCAATATCACGCGTGATATTGAGTGCGTATGAAAGCGGAAAAATATAACTTATGGCAAGTTTTGCTATAAAGGGCGAACACGAAATTATTGCGACACCGAAAATGTCATGCCAATTTTCTTATAATGTTTAGAATCAAACCAAAATTTTAGGGTAGTTTTATACATATATTTACTTCAAAAATCAAAAGAAAAGTTAATCGATGGAGCCTTGAGTGTAAAATTGAACGCATTTTCGCTTGATGCCTTCCATCAAAGTCTTTACAGTGTCATCCGGTACCAGTTTCTCAGTTTTTTTTTCCATTTTCTTAACATGTCCTTCTCGTCTTTGACTGTCTTCTTGCTCTTCCGAAGTTCCCGCTTCATTATTGCCCAGTACTGCTCCACCGGGCGCAGCTCCGGACAGTTTGGTGGATTCATGTCCTTTGGAACAAAATGGACAGAATTGGCCTCATACCACTCCAGGACACTTTTAGAATAGTGGCATGATGCCAAATCTGGCCAAAATAGCGGAGCTTCGTCGTGCTACTGCAAGAACGGCAAAAGGCGCTTCTCGAGGCACTCAGATTTGTAGATCTCGCCATTTACTGTGCCCTTTGTCACGAAAGGCTCACTCCTCAGTCCGCAAGAGCAGATGGCCTGCCAAATGAGATATTTGGAGGCGAACTTCGACATTTTCTTCTTCTTAAATTTGTCGTCCACATCGAACTTGCTCTTGCCGGTGAAAAACTCCAACCCCGGAATTTGCTTAAAATCGGCTTTTATATACGTTTCGTCGTCCATCACACAGCAGCCATATTTTGTCAGCATCTTCTCGTAGAGCTTCCGTGCCCGAGTTTTAGCCGTCGATTGTTGCCGCTCATCGCGGTTTGGGAAGTTCTGTACCTTGTATGTATGTAGTTCACCTCTCTTCTTTGCATTCTGGACGTAGCACTGCGACATGCCGATCTTTTTAGCCAAATCACGGCTTGAGACGTTGGGATTTGCGTTAATCATCCGCTTCACCTTTCCCTCCGTCTTTTTGTTCTCCGGTCCCGGCTTTCTTCCAGCTCCTTTGCCGTGGTCCAACGTCAACCGCTCCTGGAACCGCTTCAACACTCTGGAGACGGTTGAATGGTGAATGTTCAACATTTTTCCCAACTGCCGGTGCGACAGGTCAGGAAATTCCAGGTGTTTGGAAAGAATTTGTTCTCTCAACTCGCGTTGGTTCACCTCCATTTTCGTTGAATTGAAAAACACGACTTCGAGTTTGACAGCATGTACACATCAATGAGAAAGTGTGCAAAATTTGGTTGATTTTTACCCAATGGTAAAAAAAGTTATGCCCTGTTGAATGTGTCGCAATAATTTCGTGTTCGCCCTTTAAGAAATGCTCCTCGTGTTTATTAGCGAAATTCACATCAAATATTGATTAATTGCGTAGGAAATCAGTTTGACACGGCATTTATGACCAGCATACGACTTCCGGTCGTATTAAACAGGTCAAAAACTGTCCAAATCCACCCATAATTTTTGTTTGTTTTAAATTTCTTTATTGAAAAATAGTGAACTTTTCGTGAACATTAACGGCAAAGAACTCACCAACGCTGGGAGACCGTGAGCTCTTGCCCACCTGTCATAAAACCATCTCGGTGTTTGACACTAAAGCAAACCCCACACGTATCAATATATTAACGCGATGGGGAATTATTGCCATTAATATTGATGATGTGAATACAGAAATATTGTCAATACCGATGTATTGACGTCAATATTGAATGTATTGACAATACAATTATTGTCAATAAAAGCAATCGTGTAAGGTTCACATAAGACCAGTCAATTTCGCTTTCATAGATTCACAATCAATAATATTATGATTCATGAGCGATCACTCAAAGTGAGCGCTCACTAATTATAAAATCGCTGATTGTGACGCTCTGAAAGTGAAATTGACAGGTCTTTTTTGCAATACAGATACTTCACAACTTCTTCTTGTAAATTACTAGTTCAAAATATCATCATAACATCTAATGATTTCATAATTTCGAAAACCATTGCTTATATCCAAGCGAGTAGGAATAACCCTGAGTCCCTATGTAGCTTTCCCGAATGGTTTGTCATTTGCAATCATCCAAAGATAGAGGAAATGGATTTAATGTCGGCCTAAATGCCCCTAGTTTGGGCCCATATATAATTTCAGCAATCGACTAAATTTTCAATAGCGACCATAAATAGTAGTACCATCCATAGCGACCATAAACAGTAGTACCATCTCAATGACGCGTTCTTCTAGATAAAATTGATAAATAGCAGTTTTATAGCGATGGGCCCAATCTTAGAATCATAGCCCAACATTAGAGCCATTTCCCCTACGTGTTGTTTTGCTCGTCATGAAGCCATCTCTGTAACGTGACTAAATGTCGTTATGCCTTTGAATGTGTGACCTTTGCTTCACCTGACTCATCCAAATAGGCCAAAAAAGGCAGAGACGGGGTGACATCTATCCAATCAAGTTTCCCGTTCGCGCGATCCCTTGACTGGACGCGTTCCTGGAAGGAGCAAGGATTTCCTTTGTTGCGAACCGTTTTCCACATCACCGGTGAAAAGCTGTCAGATTCATTGATAATATGTTTTTCTCTTCATGCATTGTAGATTTTTCATTTATCTTAAGGAATTTCATCACATCGAAGGACGAGCGTTCGCCAGGTTGAGGAATCTACGGACCCTGTACATAGCACATGCCCCCAAGCTGCAGTTCCTGGAGTCGAACGTTTTTGAGGGCATTTCCACCAAACTGAAGTCATTGTGAGTATTAATTGTTTTCAATTTGGCAGAAAGTTGTTTCGTTCTGTCCTCTACAGTGTTCAACAGTTTTGCGACAAATCGTTGCATATTGTATCACCGTTAGTTAGACCTAAGCGTTTATAAACGAACCACCTGCCATTCAGCCAATGGACAGCAAGACGTGCAGATTTGCAATAATGCCAATGGTGGGTGGTTTTTATTCGAATAAGAAAATCCCTATGGGAGAGTCCATTAAATGTGTTACGGGAAAATGATGAAAAATCAACCTCCTCATGGCATGTGTTTCCCAAACCTAATACATTGTATGCTACTGGTTTAAAAATTCCTTGGAGCAATGAATGGATGTTCCCATTGTCCCCTTGTAAAAAGTACAATGAAGATATCAATATCCCCTGGCTGCTGTAGATGCTTCTGATGCAGTCACCTGTTGGAAAAATTTAATTAATTACGACTGTGAAACCTCATTCGAAGAAGCGGAAATGATTCTCTGGCAAAGAAGTACGTGATGTTGTAGAAATCAAATTAATTCCAAGATTAACAGCAAGAGCTTTTCAGCAAATCCAAGCAACATTCCTTATGCCACGTGGTTGTGGTTTAAGTCCCACCCTCCCCCTGTGTGGACCATTATCCCTACAAATATTTAATAAAAAAAAAATTGTATGGACCGTGGACACATGCCGAACCCTCCAAATTTTCAAACGGTGTTAAGGTGATTCCTTGTAGAGTGCACAAATGGCCGCCACGTAGGCTATACATGCACTTCCACTTCGAATTTTCAATTACGCGATTCTCGGAAATCGGTGCCCCATTTCACCTGAAATTGCTACTTCATTTATGCTGCAGTGCAGGAAACGAGAAGTAACAATTTGAATGTTGCACGTGTCGCAGAAGCTGAAATTTGTGCACTTAATGTTTCGAAGTAGTTCCGGGAATAAGGATGTCACGGCGATTCACCTTAATGCGGTTACTTTCATCCCATAAACTTCCCGTTTCAAGTTGCTTGATTTAATCAGAGCAATTCGAGTTGCGGAAGCCTTCCATGAAAAAAATGTATGAATTTTTGATGCCACTTATCATTTAACATTCCCATATTTGTCGTATAAGCTGTTTAAATGAGACTAAAGGGCGAACACGAAATTATTGCGACACCGAAAATGTCATGCCAATTTTCTTAGAATCAAACCAAAATTTTAGGGTAGTTTTATACATATATTTACTTCAAAAATCAAAAGAAAAGTTAATCGATGGAGCCTTGAGTGTAAAATTGAACGCATTTTCGCTTGATGCCCTCCATCAAAGTCTTTACAGTGTCATCCGGTACCAGTTTCTCAGTTTTTCCATTTTCTTAACATGTCCTTCTCGTCTTTGACTGTCTTCTTGCTCTTCCGAAGTTCCCGCTTCATTATTGCCCAGTACTGCTCCACCGGGCGCAGCTCCGGACAGTTTGGCGGATTCATGTCCTTTGGAACAAAATGGACAGAATTGGCCTCATACCACTCCAGGACACTTTTAGAATAGTGGCATAATGCCAAATCTGGCCAAAATAGCGGAGCTTCGTCGTGCTGCTGCAAGAACGGCAAAAGGCGCTTCTCGAGGCACTCAGATTTGTAGATCTCGCCATTTACTGTGCCCTTTGTCACGAAAGGCTCACTCCTCAGTCCGCAAGAGCAGATGGCCTGCAAAATGAGATATTTGGAGGTGAACTTCGACATTTTCTTCTTCTTAAATTTGTCGTCCACATCGAACTTGCTCTTGCCGGTGAAAAACTCCAACCCCGGAATTTGCTTAAAATCGGCTTTTATATACGTTTCGTCGTCCATCACACAGCAGCCATATTTTGTCAGCATCTTCTCGTAGAGCTTCCGTGCCCGAGTTTTAGCCGTCGATTGTTGCCGCTCATCGCGGTTTGGGAAGTTCTGTACCTTGTATGTATGTAGTCCAGCTCTCTTCTTTGCATTCTGGACGTAGCTCTGCGACATGCCGATCTTTTAAGCCAAATCACGGCTTGAGACGTTGGGATTTGCTTTAATCATCCGCTTCACCTTTCCCTCCGTCTTTTTGTTCTCCGGTCCCGGTTTTCTTCCAGCTCCTTTGCCGTGGTCCAACGTCAACCGCTCCTGGAACCGCTTCAACACTCTGGAGACGGTTGAATGGTGAATGTTCAACATTTTTCCCAACTGCCGGTGCGACAGGTCAGGAAATTCCAGGTGTTTGGAAAGAATTTGTTCTCTCAACTCGCGTTGGTTCACCTCCATTTTCGTTGAATCGAAAACCACGTCTTCGTGACAGCATGTACACAATACACATCAATGAGAAAGTGTGCAAAATTTGGTTGATTTTTACCCAATGGTAAAAAAGTTATGCCCTGTTGAATGTGTCACAATAATTTCGTGTTCGCCCTTTAAGCATGAAGCTATCTTTCTCCTGCGCCCTAAATTTTCTTCTTTCTTCGGTTTCCCTATCATCGCTGCATTGTTGCTGTGTCAACCAACCCCTTCAATGAGATCCAGTTCTTGAAACTGCCGAAAACATCTGCAGAGCTGCTGCTCCTAAACGTATTTAAGCTCCAACCATGTAGCATTTAATGCGGCAAGGTGGAATCAAATTTAATGCCCTCAAAATTATTCGTAACTTCCTGCAATTAAAAATTGATTTATTGGTTTTCAAATTGACGAGCACAATCTACGAGAATCATGCTTTTATAAAGTTATCAAGAAATCTGTCCCTATTTGCCGCGGCACGAAATATACCAAGCTTAATCGTAGAGGAAAAGCAGGAGCTGTTAAATCAGTACCAGAGCACCAGAGAAATTTGGCTTCACTCGAATTGTTCGCTGATGAACGGCGTTGCAGTCCTGTGCTGTTGTTAACTGACATAATACCAAGCCATCGAAGCTTCCTCAAAGTACCAAGGCTGCAAAATGCGTGTCGATTCATAGTTGACATGGCTGGTTCTCAGCAATGAGATGACCAATCGTTATGATTCAGCCACAAATCGAAAGATATGGCTATCTAATTTTATTTTGAATAGATAAAAACCCAATTGGACCTGTAGTTGGCCAGCCAGAACGGAAAAACCCGGAAAAGTTCGGAACAGACAAGGAACCGATTGGAGTTTTGGGTGGCCAATCGGTCCTGAAAGTAGACCTAGAGATCCGTGATTTTTTCCTTAATTGCATACAATCATGAGCGTAGAGGAAATATACCATCACCATATCGATTTTGCAACCAAGTGGCCAGAAAACGGACCTCTGGATATCCGGAATCACCGAGAAATTAGTCAAATCCTGAAAGTAGACCTAGAGATACGCGATTTTTTCTAACTTACATATAATCATTAGCAAAGAGGAAATATGACATCAACATATCGATTCTGCTACCGGGTGGCCAGAATACGGTCCTCTGGATATCCGAAATCACCTTGAAAATGGTCAATTCTTAAAAGTAGACCTACACGCAAACCAAAAATTTATTACAATGAATGTTAGTTCCATTTCCTATCATCCTCTGTTCATGAACATCGCAGCGAATGTTAGGAGCTGACCTTGCAGGCGATGTAATGGTTTTTTGCCTTTTTTAGTTCGTGTTCTGGCTGTGCTTTCACCTACACAAGCAAGCATTTGCCTTGATTTTTATGTATAACATGGTAGAACGACGCACACACTTGCCTCGAATCTCTCCATCAGAAAAAAGCATACGAAGTCAAGTGTGAGAGGAAATGAGCGCTTGCTGTTTGCTTTTAGGCTATCCATATTCAGAAGCATGGAGAGAGCAGTGGAGAAAGCACCGGTCTGAAAATCGCAACGTTCATTGTTCGAGTCCAGTCGGCAACCTTCTTCCAATTTTTTTCGACATAATTAATTTCACTCACTAATACACTCCACATTTTTCGGTCTCCAATTTTCTTGCATTGGACCGCAGCAAGGTATATTGCATCCTCGGTTTATGCGGTCTCCACTTACATCCTCTGATGATGAATTTCACATCCACCGGTTGGGTGTAGAGATCCGTGATTTCTTAAAAAATGTGAAGAACCCATAGTTGAGAAGATATATCTCAGTGCCATATTGATTTGGTCCCTCAGTGGTCATTAAACGCTCTTCTGGATATCCAAATTCACCAGGAAAATGGTCAATTCTTAAAAGTAGTCCTAAAGATTCGCGAGTTTTTCTAAATTGCATACAATCATGCGCATAGATAAAATATGCTTTCACCATATCGATTCTGTCACCGAGTGGTCTCTGGACATCCGGAATATCTAAGAAAACGGTCAATTCCTGAAAGTAGACCTAGATATCCGCGATTTTTTTTTCTAAATTGCATGCAATCATGAGCAAAAAGAAAATATGCTATAACCATATCGATTCTGCTAATGGATAGCTAGAAGGTAGTCCTGTGGATATCCAGATTTACCGAAAAAAATGGTAAATTCCTGAAAGTAGACCTAGAGATCCGCGTTTTTAAGGAATTGTGAAGAACCCTTAGTTGAGAAGATACATCTCAGTGGCATATTGATTTGCTCCCCCAGTGGTTATTGAACACCTTTCTGGACATCCGGATTCATCGGGAAAGTATACATATCCTAGAGATTCACGATTTTTTTTCTAAAATGCATACACTCTTGAGTATAGAGGACATATCCCAAGTAGCATTTCTTGTTTTATTGCACTCTATTAGTGGTTATTGAGATCAATTTCATAAAACCGCCAATAAAATTAATAGCTCCAGCACAACCTTTTGATAACCGCTATAAGATCGTCATACAGCTTAGTGGACCACTCTTGATAAGGTTTATAAAGCATGTTTGAGAATCACAATAAAGCTGTCTTAAAACCTTTTGTCAGGAAGCCTCATACTCTACAAAAGGTTCTCATAGCCTCTATAAGAGTAATATTGTATCCAAGCAGTTTTATTACGCTTTGGTGAAAATCAGTTATAAAGCCAATTTAATTTTTATTGGCATCAAAGCAACCGCCATAAATTAGCTTGTTTTTGTTCTGT